ATGTAAAATATTTGGGCTTCTTACTTCGCCTATTTATATTCTATTAATAGAGGACAGAAGGATGAGTATTGCAACTGTGTTAAAAGAAATAAATTGGCTTTCAGTTCAGAATTATATTCAGTACATGACTGATATTTATTTATAAAATAAAAATGACAGTACCATAGCATCAGATATATTAGAAAAAATTCAATATAATTCGCAATATCCCAACTATAATAAAAGAAACCAATCTGACTTTCATGTACGGCAAGCCATCACTAAAAGTTCCCAAAATACAATTTTTTTTTTTTAATTTTTTTTTTTTATTTGAATTTTTTGACTGCGGGAACTCTGAGTCCATTCGCCAAACCACATAGATCAAATTTTATCTTAGTTTAATTTCATATAGTTAGGATAATACGCTCACGTCTAGTTTTACAAATTAATTTTATTTACATTATAATTATAATAATAATAATAATAATAATAATAATAATAATAATAATAATAATAATAATAATAATAATAATAATAATAATAATAATAATAATAATAATAATAATAATAATAATAATAATAATAATAATAATAATAATAATAATAATAATAATAATAATAATAATAATAATAATAATATATTACAGTATTAACAAGTTCTTTTTTTTACTAAATTACAGCTTTTTTTATTTTTTTATGGAAATAGTCAAGTTGTGCCTGATGATGAAGTGACAGCTTCGAAACCGGTCGTCAATTAAATTGACTTGTGAGAAATAAAGGACCTTTTCTTTAACCCCTTACACTTAATGTCATACGATATATTCAACTTTTACCGTAGAAACCTATATGGCGTGTTTTCAACTTTCGGCGTCTAAGATACGAGTTTTTATTTTGTTTAATAAATAATTAACTGGTACAGATTTTAATTTAAAATTTTACACAGTTATGTAAAAACATATTCTGAAGATGAATTCGGGTTTAACTCAAAACCTCTAAAAATAGAGTTACGTGGTTACGCCAGAGTACCCTCGCTATTCTAGGCATATCGCTGTCCCCGTTCAAAAGTGTAATATTTTCAATATTTCCAATTTCAGATAAATTACTTTAAAGATTTTTGTAAGATTTTTCTTTAGTAATTTGTAATTTATTATTAAAATAAATATAAAAATAAATATTTTGAGATATTATAGTGTTGAATTATTGTAATAGACCTTGCCCATCTTGCTAATAATACATTCTTATCTCAAACCCTAAAATGTTTGAGATGTTACAGTTTTGGACTCGGTCATTAAAGAATACGAGGTCTGTAAATTAAGTAATGAGACTGATTTTTTTAAAAAAAAATTATACGAAAGGAATTACAATTCAATATTGTCACCTTCAAAATAACTTCCTTCTGAGGCCACACAGCGCTGGAGACGTCTCTTCCACTTCTCATAGCAGTGCTGGAACTCCGATACTGAAATAACCTTCAGCTGGTCGGTTAGAGCCGTTTGAATTTTTTCGACTGTCCCAAAATGATTTCTCTTGAGGTGACTTTTCAACTTTGGGAAGAGAAAAAAGTCACAAGGACTCAAGTCAGGCGAATAAGAAGGCTGAGGAGCCACAAGAATGTTTTTACTGGCCAAAAACTCGTTTATTGAAATTGCTCTTGTTCTTGATGTTTGGTCTCACACGAATGGCCTTTTTTCGAAGTCTTTCAAGAACCTCTCGGTAAAAGTGTTGATTGACCGTTTGACCTTGGGGTACAAACTCTTTGTGGACGATTCCGCGGATATCGAAAAAACAAATCAGCATGCATTTGATCTTTGACTTCGCCATCCTTACCTTTTTTGGCCTTGGAGAGGTTGAAGTGTGCCACTCCATGCTCTGGCGCTTGGTTTCTGGGTCGTACTCAAACACCCAAGTCTCGTCACCAGTAATGACACGTTCCAGAAAATGGGGGTAATTTTCAATTGAATCCAAAAAGTCAAGGCACCTTTCCTTCGTGATGTTCTTTAGGTCTTGCGAAAGGTTTTTTGGAACCATTTTTGCGCAGATTTTTCTCATCCTCAATTCATTGGTCAAAATTTGATAAACGGTGGTGTGAGTCAAACTTAACTCTTCCCCTATCATTCAGACTGTCAACCGACGATCTAAATGCACAAGATCCCGGATTCTGTCGACATTTTCATCGGTTCTTTAAGATGAAGGCCTTCCGCTTCGTGGTTCATATTCAGTCGACTCTCTTCCTTCTGAAAATGCCTTAAACCACCGAAAATCCTGGGCCCTTGACAAAACACTATCTCCGTAGGCCTTCTGAAGTTTCAGAAGAGTTTCCGTTGCACTGTGCCCAAGTCTGAAGCAAAACCTGATAGCACACCGTTGCTCGAAATTGATGTCATTCATTTTTAGAACACAATAGAAAAAACTGTTTCACAAAAACAATCGCTACGCACAACCAAATGACTCGAGCGAGGTCAAACTCGTACTGAAGGTGGATCACATGTTCCTCTGTCGCCCTACTAAGCCCCGCGCTTCCAGTATTGCCAGATCAAACGCAACGTTGCCAGTCTCATTACTTAATTTGCAGACCCCGTAAGTGTATACATATAATGAAAATCGTAAACATTTTTTAAATCTTTATTTACAAAAATTATTACTTATTCTTCTCCTTTAGCTAATTTTCTAGTTCTTCCAGGTCAATTTCTTGCCTTACAGGATTTTTTTTTTATAGAAAGTGTGTATGTTATTCTGGTAACACTGTATTTTAGTTTCAATTCGCCATTAGTATTAACCATATTAAAAAATTCACTCAGGAAACTAATATTTAATTAACATCACTTGTAGGTCTCAAAAACTAAAAATATAGTAAAATTTGTTTATTTTTATATAGAACACACGATGCAATTGATTTTTATTAATCTATTTACCTATTCGAAGCGATCAAGCATAATTAAAAAAATTAATGATATGTTATTTTCTTCTATTAAGTTTGTGAATGTTTTTTGACCTGAACACTTAACATTAGTGCATTACCTAGCGAATTATCAGATCGGCATCTGGGAAAAAATCATATAGATATGTAAATAAACGTCTTTTTTTGTGTATTTGGTGTTAATTTTTACCAGTTAGGATTTAGAACGTTCTCAGAATATGAACTACATGCTGGGTATGACTTTTAGTATCTTCTAAGAATGTCCTGTTATAGCACGTGCTTAAAGCACTTACTCAGTATATATACTTTCTAGAATATACTTTCAAAGTATATACTAGGTATGTTCTAAAAACATTTTAGAAAGGACATACCAAAAAGAATATAAAGAGAATGTTCTTAGTATATTCATAAAACATTGATAATACGTATGTTTAGAAACATCGTAGGGACGTACCATTTATGACAGAAATATAGAAACATACATATGACCTAAATAGGATGTTTCTGGCAGATCAGTGTTATTAAGGAATAATAAAAAAGTTTTCCATATGGTTCTAACTTAAGTAGACACTGTATGACAAATACTTACAAAAAACGTCGAAAACATTTTTTACAATACAGAAGAATGTTATAAAGTTATATTTAAATAAATATACAATTGTAATTGTAATTGTAATTGTAAGAAATAAAGGTACTTTACTCCTGAGTAAAATTTATATTTTTTGTCAAACCTCGCATACGGCTTGAAAAAATTGACATCTGATGGTTGCATTTTAAGTTTTGGATCATGCAAAACTTTTAATCAAAAATCAAAATTTTCACAAAACCAATAATAAAAAAGATTTCCATATTTAAACGTATTTGTTAAATATATCAATAATTTTATTGCAGAAATTAATAACAGAAACCAAACATTTATAACTTTAACCATTATTTAGATATTGGGGTAAATATACCTACCTATTTATAATATATTATGCAGGGTCAGTGCCACTAACAGATTCGTGCGATAAGTATTTATCCCAAGTAGGTACCTCCGACCCAAATTGAACAGGTAAATATTTAATTCCCCATAAGCGAGAAAAACCTTGCTATAGAATTGGTAGATTTCTAAAAATGTGCGATGTTGACAGTTCTTTTCTTCTAGACCAACTTAACTGAGAACACAAAATAAAAGTATGGTTGTGTATATTATTTTGCCGAACGACTTTTGCAATATAATGGACAAAATATGAAGGTTAAAGAGTTTAGCTACATCTACGTAGAAAAGGATTAACTAAAATTCAAATTTAAATCATGTTATCAAGAACCGGAAGTGCTGCGGCGTCCTTAATCGAGTTTCTCAAATTTGTTACTATTTAAAATCATGAACATGTGTACCAAAATTATGTATCCAACATTTAAGGCGGTAGTGTTATATCATTTAATTTAAATTCTAAATAAATTGGAAAGCAATAAAAGGTGAAAGGCTAATAAACAATGAACTGTTTACGCAATTAGTCAGTTACAGCTATTTTTATCGTCATTTGTAGGAGACTGTAATTCGGAAACGCATTAGCCGATTTTTTGAAAATGAGGAACATTCTGAAAGTCCATTTTATCTTGTATAAATGGCTTAAAGTGATCTTTAGTAAAAAGTAATTTTTCAGCGTTACACAGTGTGTGAAAGAATACAATATAAAATTTTGTCTGCACCTGTACTAATAGTAACTTTCATTGTAATCACATTTAGATATCTCGAAAGGTACCTGGCCGGTTTATTATTATTTTTTTTTTTTTAGAAAAGAGTTAATGCGTATTTTCAATAAGTCCGAATTTTTCGTTTATTTTGCAATAAAAAGTAAATGGCAAAGTGCCCTTTTGTCAGTTGAATTGATTTTATTTAGAAGCGCTGTCATAAAGATGTACCCTCCTAGACAACCCAATACATTCTCTTTCATTTTTCTTTAACGGAAATCTTAACTGTAGGCGGCTTCTTCCTTAATAAATTAAATTTGAGAACCTTGATCTAAAAGTACTCTTAAAATGTACCAATATTTCCCTATTGGTTTCTAAAACAAATATATACAATTTCTGCAATAACAACAAACTCTTTTGTTTCCAGGTCTTCAGTCCGAACGTGTGCCAAGTAGTGCGCAACCCGTTAGCGCAATGTCAATTCAGCGGCTCCTCGCTGTCCGTCAACGGCGAACTCCAGCAACAGATGGCGGCGCTGGCGCGCAGTCGCCAACCATCGATGGGCATCGACACCGACATGGTCAGCGAATTCGACCCGAGCAGCTCGGACTCGGGCGTCGTCGCCCATTGCACCGTCATCAAGCCGCTGAAGCTGAAGATATGCAACCCGCTGTTCGGTCGCAGCAAAAACAGCCACGGTCGGAGCAAAGGGGGCCAAGGTCACGGCGGCGGGGGCGAGGAGAAACCGTTACCGAAATCGCCGACGAGTGAGAAAGTGTTAATAGAGTACGTGGTGCCGCGAGTGAACAAACCGAAAGACCCTGAGCGGGAAAAGAGGCGGATAGCGAGGCAGAAAGAGAAGAGGGCGACTCTGATCTTAGGACTTATCATGGGTTCGTTCATAGCGTGTTGGCTACCTTTCTTCTTCATGTACATATTGAGGTTGGCCTTGAACATTCCTATGATTGCTTTTGCTACAGCCTTTTGGCTAGGTAAGTTTGCACCGAGTCTTATCTTTAAAATATTCTTTGTTTGTAAAATAAATGTAGTTACTGTAATTCGCCTTTTCTGTTTTATTTTTTTTTTTATGCGAACAGCCACCAACTCGCAAAATTAAAAGTTAAGAGTTAATATTATGATCATAAAAATACACTAGCGCTTAATTTGTGACTAATTTGGCGGTATTCAACTTTATGTTATAATAACCCTTAAGCCGTGACTACTTTGGCATATTCAACTTTGTGTTAAAACAAAACTCAACCCACTTCGTTTATAGGAAGATTGAGAAGTAAAAGGCCAAGTGGGTCCATAGTTTTATGCTATATGGAGTTTTATGACGTGTGTCTAGTCCATGCTCTGTCTGACTGTCTTGTCCATTTTCTTTTCTTTTATTATAGTAAAGACCATAGTATGCATGTCTTCTTCTCTCCTTGGACAATATCATTTAGTTTGTGATGTTCTTCTTCCTTATGATCTGCCATATCTCGCCTGGAAAGAGGTGGTGCTTGGTAAGTCGTTCTCCATATAATTTTTTTTCGATTTCGTGAATCTAATTCTTGGAAAAGTCACACCAATCCGAAAATTTCGTTAAGTAATATTCTGCACTCCGGAATCCTAGAGATTACTTGAAGCGCTTCCATAGAACCATCCTTAACAGAATCATTCTTTGCATTCTAATGAGCATATCTCTTTATTTTTTCCAGTTGTTTTGAATGCATACGTCCTACTGGTATGCCGTATAGCAATATAGCCCCCGGATTCATTGCCAACATCGACACTTTTGGTGGTACCTAAACCAAAATTAAATTTACAGAATTAGGTTGCTTTCTAATGCTCAGAGTTTATTTTTAATGTGTTTTTTAAATAGTTTTCTTAAAACTGGAAGAAGGATGATTGGTTAGCAATCCTTTTGTGGTCTGTACCTGGTTTTGGAATAACTAAGATAGTATCTTTTTTCCTTGATCTGAAGAGGAGTGGAGAATCCCTGATTGGATAGTATTTGAAAATATGTTTTTTTCTTGAATTATCTTTTTTTTTTTCATTGATTAGATTGTTTTGGAAAAAGATTTGGATAAGATTTTTGGGATTTAATTCCTAGTTTTTTATTTTGACAGTTTATTTATTGTGTAGCAGAAGTTCCTTTTCTGTTCTCGACTGATTAGGTTGTTTTGTGAAAAGCTTTTGTACCTTGAGTTTACATTGTTCCGGTTGTTTGGTTTAAAAGATGGGTCTTTTGTTCCATTATATGTTTCAATGAAGTTTTTAATGAATGCGTTGGATTTTTATTCATCTGTGGCATAGACTGTTTTGGAAAAAGATTTGGAAAGGATTTTTGGGATTTAATTCCTAGTTTTTTATTTTGACAGTTTATTTATTGTGTAGCACAAGTTCCTTTTCTGTTCTCGACTGATTAGGTTGTTTTGTGAAAAGCTTTTGTACGATGAGTATACATTGTTCCGGTTGTTTGGTTTAAAAGATTAGTCTTTTGTTCCATTATATGTTTTAATGAAATTTTTAATAAATGCGTTGGATTTTTATTCATCTGTGGCATAGACTAAACATTGCTTAATTACCACATATTTGGTATGTTATTCTTCATTTTATATTTCGACAGTTTATTTATTTAATGGTATAAATTTCTTCTCTGTTCTCGACTGGTTTCTTGACAGGTTTGTAGTCATGTGTGTTGCTGAAATTATTTTACTTATTTTTGAATTTCTTTGATATAGTTGATGATTTTGTTTTGATTTTCTGTCTATAGTTTTACCTGCATTATCTAAGGCTTGTATGTTTTGTTTTGATGAGTTTTACGATATATAGAGGGAATTCTTAATTGAGATATTTGCATTTTTTGGTGTATTATTTGCGATAATCTCTAAGATTTTTGAAGATCATTGGAGGTAAAATTAGTGTTGTTGTTTGAAATCATTTGGATTACCTCATTATTTATTTTTTCAATGTTAGCTGTATTGAAATTATGTTTAAGAGGTGGATATGCAAGAGGAAAAGGGTAATTCTTGTTTAATAGTAAACATTAAAAATGGTGGTCTGCTCCAGTGTCCGAAATCACTTCTATGTTCTTGATTGCGCTGAGAAAATTAACTCGATGTGTTCTGAAAGAATTGTAGGATTGCCTGTTTTCTTAGAGATACTACTTTTTCAGTTATGGAATTCTCCTCTGGATGAGATAATTTTCTGCGAGATTTTTTTGTACAGAAGTTTTAGGGTATTCTTTCCTATTTTTAGTGTATTTACTTTAAGCAGATAGCCCTTAGTTTTAATTTATTATATCTCAATTATTTTGGTCTTTCTTCTTCCCACAAATCAGCCATTTGAATTGTATTAATAATGGTATTATTCTTTCTAATATACATATTATTGAATTGTGTTTGTTGGAAGATTTTCATGTGTTTTGAGAAATTTAATGATCTACCTGTATTTTTATTTAATGCAATATTATTATTATTTTGGTTTTGGTTTTGGTTTTGGTTTTGGATTTGTTTTGTGTTTTTGCTCTTATAGAATACTATAGAAGATTAGATTAGATTAGGAGCTGGACGTTACTTGTCCTTGTCCACCGCGACCTTTTCAGATCTATTGTGTGACTCCGCTTATTCTAGAGTATGTCGTCTAGCCTGGTCCTTTTTATTAGACTTAGTAGCTTTGACAGTGGCTCCCGCATGTAGTTGCATGCATTTGGCTTTTCTTCGCCCAATGTTAGAAACCCCATTCCAGCCAGGCCTTCACATTGGCACAGGACGTGGAATGATGTTTCCTCTTCTTCTTCTTCTTCATAGAACCTGCAAAGTTGCTCCTTCTGCTGTATTTATGACACTCATGTACCTTTTGAGGCGACAGTGTCCAGTAAGAAGGCCTACTGTTATCCTAAAGATTTGACGCTTTTGATCCAGTAGGTCTTTCGTGAACTTGGCCGATGGTTCCTTGATGAACTGTCTTGGATTGTTGTTTCACCATTCCTGAGACTCGTTTTGCATCCATTATGTAATGGATGCCTTGCACAATGCCTTAGCAACTCCACAGAAGGTTTCGGGGCCTGTCATGGCCTTATCTCAGCCTTCTCGGGCTAATTCGTCGGCCTTTTCGTTGCCCTGATTTCCCTCATGACCTGGAACCCAGGCAAGGGTCACCTTATTTTAAATACTTAGCTCTGCTAGGTCTTCTAGACAGTCTTTCACCAGTCGTGATTTGATTTGTGGTGAGAGAAGTGCCTTTAGAGCTGCTTGACTATCAGAGTATATATATTTTTGCCTGATACTTGCTGATTTAATATTTCTCTTGCACAGTGTTGTATGGATATTAGTTCAGCCTGGAAAACTGTTGCATATTTTCCTAAACTCAGCGAAATCGTTGTTTTCGACTTGGATCCATAGATTCCAGCACCGGCTCCTTTCTTAATTTTTAAACCATCTGTGTACCAGACGAATTCAGCCTTCAATTTATGAATGCCTTTGTATATGTTACATGGACAAATCTTTTAAAAACAATAATCTGCCACATGCATTACTAAAGAATTAAACAGCGATTTAAAAAAAATATCTAAATGGACTGAAAACTTTAAAAGAAAAATAATATTTCATACAAATAAATTTTCTGCTGTGTGTATATCAATCATTTCTGCCTTCATCAGGTAGAAGTAGACAATGCCACTAAATCATTTATTTTTATATTAACAATAATAATTTCTTTGTTTCAGGTTATATGAATTCAGTCTTGAATCCCGTCATCTACACCATCTTCAACAAGGATTTCCGAAGAGCATTTAGAAGGATATTGTTTAAGTGATGTTTGACCTATGTGTGCTGCTACGACTGCGTTAGTCGGAGGATCCGAACTGCGCAGTTTCGCAGCGCACCTAGCGCCTTGTATCGACACTAAATTTATAAAAATAAAGTTTTCGACAATCTCTCACTCATCATCTTGTATTCTTCTATGAAAAATATTCAACAAAAGTATTTTGTTCGTCGATATTTTTTTATAATAATGTAGAAAATCGTTGTCGTTTAAAGAAGATTTTATTGAGAAAATTGGTTGTTAAAGTTTTTGGATGTAATCAAATACTGGGTGTTTTCGTAACGGAAAAATTTATTTACATCAATTATATTGGTAATTTTATCAATTCTTTCTTACAACAAACAAATATTGCGAAAAATAAACAAACATTTTAGGTTTTAATGAGCTTAAAAGCGGTTTCAACACTATAGGGTTAATATCAGGCATAAAATTATAATTAAGTAGAAAACAACTAAAATAATTCAATTTGACTTTGTTGACAAATTATTTAAAAAAATAATTAAATTTTGTCATAAATAAACTACAATAGTGTATGATTTAATTTTAATATATTTTTAAATAATTTCTCAACATAGTCAAATATCAATTTCTAGTAATTTTCTGTAATTTATTAAATAAATCATAATTTAATGAAACCTAAAAAAATTAGAAAAACAAATAAAATAAAGATTGACACTTCTGTGTTTATTTCTTTCTAATATATTTAGTCCACGTTTAGCTATGCATGATAATTTTTGGGATTTTTAAATAATTTTCAATTATTGCTTTTATTGTAGAATAAGATTTTCAAAAAAACTCTTATACAAAATAGTTTCCTGTCAAATACCATCAATTTTGGATATCTTGTAATACCTGAACTCCAAGCCAAATAGGTTCAATCTGTCATTGCTAGGTACAATTTGACATTAACTTTTATTTTTAAATACTTTAATAATTATCAATATTTCATTTATTTAAAAGTGTGGAAAAATAATTTATGGCAAATGATTTATGTGTATACAATTTTCTTTCTTTATTAAAAAAAACTTTTAAACAATAATTACAAAATATAGCAAAATTTGACATAACCTATGAGATTAAGAGACAAAGTGTTAATAATTCTAGTACAAAGTGTTAATAATTCTAGTACATAAAAAATAATAAGTTTTGATAAAATTCATCAGTGGCGTGCAACAAAAGAACGAAAACAATTTATAAAATAAAGCATGTGAATAACCAACTAAACTAATGCATTGTATTTTATGAAAGTATTGTTAGGCTACTTGTTGGTAACTTAATTTATTTTAACTTAACTTTTGTAATTCAACTATATACCTGATGACATGAACGTATAAAAACTGTCATGTTAGTATCATCGACTTATATATCTCCCATAAACCTTCTCTAACATTCTTGAATCTTCCAGATGCTTTTTGACACGTACTGACATTTCTAGACATTTCTAGACGTTTCTTGACATTTCTAGATATTTATAAATATTTCTAGACATTTCTAGACATTTATAGACATTTCTAGACATTTCTAGACATTTATAGACATTTCTAGACATTTCTAAAAATTTCTAGACATTTCTAGACATTTCTAGACATTTATAGACATTTCTAGACATTTCTAGACATTTCTGGACACTTCTAGATATTTATAGACATTTCTAGACATTTCTAGACATTTCTAGACATTTCTAGACATTTCTAGACATTTCTAGACATTTCTAGACATTTCTAGACATTTCTAGATATTTATAGACATTTATAGACATTTATAGACATTTATAGACATTAATAGACATTTCTAGACATTTCTAGACATTTCTAGACATTTCTAGACATTTCTAGACATTTCTAGACCTTTCTAGACATTTCTAGACATTTCTAGACATTTCTAGACATTTCTAGACATTTCTAGACATTTCTAGACATTTCTAGACATTTTTAGACATTTCTAGACATTTCTAGACATTTCTAGACATTTCTAGACATTTCTAAACATTTCTAGACATTTCTAGATATTTCTAGACATTTCTAGACATTTCTAGACATTTCTAGACATTTATAGACATTTCTAGACATTTCTAAACATTTCCAGACATTTCTAGACATTTCTAGACATTTCTAGACATTTCTAGACATTTCTAGACATTTATAGACATTTCTAGACATTTCTAGACATTTATAGACATTTATAGACATTTTTAGAAATTTATAGACAATCCTAGGCATTTTTAGATATTTCTAGAGATTTATATAGGTTTCTAGAGATTTCTGAAGATTTCTAAAAATTTGTAGACATTTCTAGACATTTCTAAAGATTTCTAGAGATTTTTAGAGATTTCTAGAGATTTCTAGAGATTTCTAGAGATTTCTAGAGATTTCTAGAGATTTCTAGAGATTTCTAGAGATTTCTAGAGATTTCTAGAGATTTCTAGAGATTTCTAGAGATTCATATAGGTTACTAGAGATTTCTGAAGATTTCTAAAAATTTCTAGACATTTCTAAAGATTTCTAGAGATTTCTACAGATTTCTAGAGATTTATAAAGATTTCTAGAGATTTATAGAGATTTCTAGAGATTTTTTGAGATTTCTAGACATTTATAGACTTTTTAGAAATTTATAGACAATCCTAGGCATTTCTAAAGATTTCTAGAGATTTATATAGGTTTCTTGAGATTTCTGAAGATTTCTTAAAATTTGTAGACATTTCCAGACATTTCTAGATATTTCTAAAGATTTCTAGAGATTTCTAGATATTTCTAGAGATTTTTTGAGATTTCTAGACATTTATAGAAATTTCTAGAAATTTCTAGACATTTCTAGACATTTCTAGACATTTCTACACATTTCTAGACATTTCTAGACATTTTTAGACATTTCTAGACATTTCTAGACATTTCTAGACATTTTTAGACATTTCTAGACATTTCTGGACATTTATAGACCTTTCTAGGAATTTCAAGACACTTCTAGACTTTTCTAGGTATTTTTAGACATTTCTAGAGATTTTTATACATTTATAGACATTTCCAAAAATCTCTAGAGATTTCTAGAGATTTCTAGAAATTTCTTAACTAAACTGTCATGTTAGGATCATCGAAAATCCCATAAACCTTCTCTAACCTTCTCGAATCGTCCAGATGCTTTTTGACACGTACTGACATTTCTGGACATTTCTAGACGTTTCTTGATATTTCTAGATATTTATAAATATTTATAGACCTTTCTAGACATTTCTAGACATTTCTAGACACTTATAGACATTTCTATACATTTTTAGATATGTCTAGACATTTATAGAAATTTCTAGAATTTTCTAGACATTCCTAAAAATTTCTTGACATTTCTAGACTGTTCTGTATTCTTCTTTTATTTGTACTTTCACTTATGACGACCGCAGCGTACTGTCAAGTCATGAGTGACATTTCGTTTCTTCTTTTATTCGTACGCTTTCTATAGCAGCTGCAGACTACTGCGGGTTACAGGGTTAAATTGCTTCCTCTTCTCTTATTATTTTTCCTGAATAACTTAATTACTAGGACCTGCTTGGAGCCAACAGGACGATCTACCTTGGGTTTACTTCCCACTGACAACTTAATGTACTAGATCAGGTTGTTGATTTCCTTAAGGACTGTGTAGAGGCCTTCCCATTTCCGTTTCTGTTTCTGACAAAGTCCTTTTCGGCACTTGGAATTGAGCAGTCATACTGGGTCGCCTCTTTTAAAATGGCATCTTTAATTTTAAATTTATTCTTATCTTTCCCTGTCGCGAAATCGTCCTCTTGTTTTTCTAGAGTTACTTTTTTCTGTTTTTCTTCAAGTATTGTTGTTACTCTGAATTTCCAATTATTAAAATTTCCAGATCATAGTTGTCGTAAGTTTACATTTTTTCTACTCATTTGTTGTTGTTGTGGTTGTTCTTGTTACAGCTTTATAACTTTGTTTATAGTAGTCCTGAGCCCACAACCTTCTAAGGCTTTACCTAATCTTGTTCAAGTATAACTCCTTAATTACTTATAATATGCTTTTATTAAAAGAACTACAAAAACTACTAGCTTCCACTTGTTTGTCTTCTTTCTTAGGTTAGGCCTGGGTTATTTAATCTTAAAGCAACAAAAAAACGTTTCTCAACAAATGCACTTACCATCTACATAGACTTTAAAAAATGTTTTTCAAAACTGTTTTATAAATTTTAAATTTTGAGGTTATGTTGCATGCATGTCGATTCTTTTACTATTCGATTACTTTATTTTTAAATAAAATTGCAAGTTAAGGCCCCGCTGTTTGCGTACTGAAGAGTAATAAATTTTTTGTGCAACAAAACAGACCATTCAGAGATATATTAATGACGCCATCTAAGATGTTATTGACAAAGTAATAGAACTAGAAATCTTGTTTTTATTTATTTAAATCAAACTGTCCAAATGTTTGGTTACTGCGCTTGTGCGGTACCCAAAAAGAAGAAAAATATTGATAATATTATCAGTAATGTCCAGCGATTTCAATTATTATTCATTTTAAATTAATTATGAAGGCGTAAACCTCAAATAACTGACCCATTACCTTTATCGCCTCCGATACAACGCCATAATACAACAATCATAATATTACGCACCTCAATTAATTTGAGTGTATTGGTAATTATTCAATATTGTTCATTTCATCAACGCGCGTTGGGATATTTTCATTTTTAATTCCAAAAGTTTCTTCCGCTCATTCGTAAAACCGAGAGCGAACCGACTCCGCTTGCAGACGTGGAATTTGCGAATTGAAATTGGTTCTTATATTTTGTTCCGGAGAAATAACTTTAACCGAAAAGACACTTTATTAAAAAATACTTTATTGTTTAACTCCAGAAGCTCGTTTTGCGAAATATGTAGCAGGAGAGAACGCAGTTGTTTTGGGTATATTTGAATAAGATAAAAATTCGTTGTTAAACTACCTTCTAATTTGTTTGAAGATATATTTTTCTATTGCTTTTTCTTGTTGTTTTGTAGATTATACAATTAGGCAGAGTGTTAATCATCATTATCTATTATTAATTAGCTCTTGCCCACTGTCGGATATGAATTAGGATACGGTTCAAAT